AGGTGATCTGGCTGCCTCAGTCTCCCAAAATGTTGGGATTACAGGCATGAGCCACCACACCTGGCTGAGGCATTGTTTTTAATGGTGAAAAAATGTAAAAGTGTCAGCTTCCATTAGTAGAGGAATGGTCACAAAATGGAGAGACAGGCCAACTGAAGAATATCACGTAAGTTAAAAAAAGTGAGATCCTACTCAGGAGCCTGAGGCAGGAGAATGGCTTGAGTCCAAGAATTCCAGGCTGCAGTGTGCCACTGCACTCCAGCCTGGGCAACAGAGTGAGGCCCTGTCTCTAAAAAATACCAACCCCGCCCCCCGCAAAAAAAAAAAGTGAGATCATGCTCTAAGTGGTACATGATAGATCTATAAAATGTACTGAGTAAAGGAAACGCATCACAGAACAATACGTATAATGCGGTATCATTTATGGAGAAAAACAAGAAAAAAGAATATTTTGCACAAATTCATAAATATGAATGAATGTAAAGTATTATTAAAAGATTTGGAAGGACAAATACAAACATGTGAACAGTGTTTATATCTGAAGAGTGGAGGAAGGGGACTGGAATTGGGGATGAGGCACCTCTGTCGTTCCTTCATCTGGGCCCTAACTGTCTAATAACCTAATCTAAGGGGAGCTTTGGTCTGGTCTGTAATTTTAAATTCTATTCAAAATACATCCAGGTATTACCTATCGAATTCAAAATTAATGAAAACAATTATAAAGAGAGATCAAACACAATCTATGGGCTGGGTACAACTGGTGTGTCTAAGCAGCCGCTGCCTCTTCCATCTCCCCAGCTTCCATGGCCTTCTTGGGGAGCCTCTTTCTCTCCAACCACACACACAGGAAATCTGGCTGAAATCCCAACTGAATTGTTTCCTAAATAGCATTAAGAAAGAACAAGCTGTTTTGCAAGCAGTAGCAGAGAGGACCCGTTATCCCACAGGCAGTTGGGCTTCACCCTGGGGGTGGGGATATTTGGGAAATATAAGTGGGCAGAAGAGAGGGCAGGGGTGTGTGTGTGTGTGTGTGTGTGTGTTGGAGGCGGGGAGCTCCCTCAAATGACTATAGTCTTGGGATGTAGCAGTTCTGGCAGTGCCCTCCAGAGGCTACCCCCAGGAAGGGGAGCTGGCCAGTAACTTATACCGGACAAGGCTTATTTGAAATCTCTCCCACCCCTTGGAGCTGCGTTCTCCTGATTACTCTGCATGCTGAGAAGTGCTTTAAGCCTCAAACACACCCCTGCCTGACAGGGTCCAGATGAGGGAACGACAGAGGTGCAGACAGGAGAGGCTGACTGCCTTGGGGTGACCTCAGGTGGATCATTTTTAATTGGTTGGAAACCTCATCAAGTCACAGAACATCTCTAGCCCTGGCACACACATGGGCACCCTCAGACCCAGCCTTGGGCCAAAGGCAGGAGCTTTGGGGAATCCACATCTTGAGAGTGCCCCCACCTCTGTGTGGGTGGAGCACTTTGGGTCTTTGAACATCATTCTCAGAAAAGGATTTTCAAACATTCCTAACCTGATTGCTACCTGTGAGGAAGCAGAGCAAGCCTCTTCACAGGTGAATTGCTGAGATGCTGCCTGCCAGGTCTCCATGTATGGGCCTCTCGTCCAGTGCACTGTCCACACTGCAGCCCCAGCGTGTTAGCTTTCTAAAGTAACTTGGACCACCCACTCCCGATTCACAGACTTCATGCCTCCCTGGGGCTTCGGGACTACAATTTCTCAGTTGGTCCGTGAGAATGTTGCATCCTGGCCTCTGCCTGCCCCACCAGCCTCACCCTGTCCACCCTCTCCCTGTGTTGGAACTGAGTGAAGCCGACAGTGTCATTCTCTGGGCCCAGAATGCTCTTCCCTCTCTGGGTCTACTTGGTCAGCTTTGAGACAGACATTCTTCAGGACAGTCTCCAGATTGATTCTGAAGACTCCTCTAGAAAGCCTTCCTTGACCTCCCCCAGTAAATCCAAGTGCTGCTCTTTGCTGCTTCTTAAGATCCCTGCATGGCTGCACGGGCTCTTGGGGTGCCATTTGTTTCCCTTTCTGCTCCCCTCTGTGAACTCCTTGAGGATGAGGCCCATGCTTTGCTCAGTGGAGAATGCCCAGTGCCAGGCACAGTACCCGCCAAGCACTCAGTAAATACTTGCTGAGGAAATCATTGAATGAAAGGTCAGGAAGAGGTGTCCAGAGGCTACTGGGTCAAGAGCACTGGTTTGGAAGTCAAGAGACCTGACATGGAGATTATTCTGAACTGGGCCACACTGTCGACCTTGATCAAGTCATTTCCTTCCCTGGGTTCCCTCTTTCTCAGCTCTGCAGTAAGGGGATTGCATTAAATGTCTCTCCCGTCTTGAGCCTTGACAATTCCTTTAAAAGAGCAAAAGGACCCTGATACTCAAGGTTGACAAGGGTGACAGGGGACAGGCACTCTCATGCATGGCTGAAGAGAGGATGAGGCACAATCTTCAGCAGGCCATTTGACTATCAATATTAAAAAGCCCTACAATGTGCATGCCCAGATACCCAGCAATTTTACTGCTTCTTCTTCTTCTTCTTCTTCTTTTTTATTTTTTTTTTGAGATGGAGTTGCTCTTGTTGCAATGGTGTGATCTTGGCTCACTGCAACCTCCGCTTCCTGGGTTCAAGCAATGCTCCTGCTTCAGCCTCCCAAGTAGCTGGGGTTACAGGCACGTGCCACCACGCCCAGCTAATTTTGTATTTTTAGCAGAGACAGGGTTTCTCCACGTTGGTCAGGCTGGTCTTGAACTCCTGACCTCAGGTGATCCGCCTGCCCACCTCTGTCTCCCAAAATGCTGGGATAATAGCCATGAGCCACTGCACCTGGCTGAGCAATTTTACTTCCAAGACTTCTTGCCTTAGGAAATAATTGATGATGTGGCTAGAGATTTAACTCCATGGATGCTTGTCCTAGTACTACTTATAATAATGAAAATCAGAAACAACCTAAGCATCTAATGAGATAGGATTAGTTAATAAATCATATAAAATATTTATATGAAATATTATACAGACATAAAAATGAAGTAAATCTATATTTATTGACACAGGGAGATACCCAGACTAAAATTGTTAGGTACCGAAAGGAGATGGCAAAACAATATTTAAAGTTCCTCTTACCAATATTTAAAAAAATATATTATTTCTACATATAGGACATCAAATTATTAAGTGAGGTATTGGTGAATGGTAGGATTATGGGCAATTATTTTCCTTCCTACTGTTTATTTATGTGAAGACAATGGTAAACCTTGAGAGAAAAAAAGTACCCACAATCTCACATGATTATAAGTGATTTTGATTGATTTTTACTTTTGCTTACTTGTTTTCTCAAACTTTGCATCAATGAAAATTATATTACTTAAAGGATTGAAAAATCATTTCCAAAAGCCTACACAATTCTAGAACCTGATTCACAAAGAGCCACTTCACCAAGTTCACACACAGCAAGTCACTGGCAGGGCAAAAGCTGAACTCAGGGGCTCCTGGGTTCCTCTTCCCAGCAGGGGACAGGATCTCTGGACGAGGGATCCTTCGGACATGCCCAGCGCCCAGCAAAGTACCTGACAAGCGCTCAGTAAATACTTGTGGAAGAAATCATTGAATGAAAGAAATTGAATGGACACACTGGGAAGATGTTCTGGGCACGGCAGTCCCTTTTCCCTTGGGCAAGAAGTGGTCTGGGCATAAGAAGACAACAGTGGGTGGCAGGAAGGTGGCTGAAGGTAGGAGGTGGAATTTAAATGGGAGATGGATGGCATAGTTGACATGAGCTCAGCCTGACCAGAGAGGTAGATAAATTTAGTTGAAAATCATAGTACTTTTCCTGCTTGAGGCTGGTGGCCGTTTTGCTGGCTTTCTCAAGTAAGAAACACCCTCTTCTATTTCAGAATGATTCAGAATCATTAACCCAAATCCTCCCAACTGCACTGTCTTGTCCCAGAGAGGCCCTGGGCTGTGTCACCCAACTGATCATCAACCACAACCAGCTCTGCTCTCTCCTGGTTCCTGAAATCCAGGAGCAGATGGTGGTGGGGAGGGGAAGTTTGGAGACAGTCCCACTACCAGAAGCCAAGAAGAAAGGGGAGTGAGGAGGGATAGAGGAAGTTACCTTGGTCCTGCGCCCACAGCCCTCAGGGTCCTCCTTCCTGTGAAGCCTAACGGTCTCCAGACAGATTTCCTGTCCCCTTAGCCCTACCAAGTACCAGAGGCTGCTCAGCGGGGTTGGCTGCAGGACCTAGGTTACTGTTGGAGTCGGGGATGGCCACCTGAGACCAGTTGGGTCATCTTTATGCCAGGTCTCCCTTTCACCCTCCTGTCTTCCCTGGGCCTACTCTATGCCCCATAATTCCTTGGGCTACCAGTTCCTGACTTCTGTTCCTTTCAAAAGAACCCTGGATGATCAGTATGACCAGAATTTCAGAGGGGTTAGTTGTGTGTACCCCCTGGGGACAGCGCTGGTATAGGCACACAATGAGAAACCTTGGGCTGGATATGCTAAATTCAAAGGCTGGGGACAGGCTGGGCACAGTGGCTCGTGTCTATAATCCCAGCACTTTGGGAGACCTAGATGGGCCGATCGCTTGAAGTCAGGAGTTCAAGACCAACCTGGCCAACATGGTGAAAACCCGTATCTACTAAAAATACAAAAATTAGCCAGGTGTGGTGGTGGATGCCTGTAATCCCAGCTACTCAGAAGGCTGAGGCAGGAGAATTGCTTGAACCATTGCACAGCAGCCTGGGTGACAGAGCAAGATGACCTCTCAAAAACAAAACAAAACCAAAGGCTGGGGACAATGCTGGTCCCTCCTTTCCTGCCCCTTCCCCCCATTTCAGGGGCCCCTCTGTATGTACGTTCTAACCCCAGTGGGGGAGGAGAGAATTCAGATTCCAGGATCAGACCTTCCCATGCCTCACCCCGCCCCCAGCTTAGAGAACATAAAAGCCCAGATTCAGCTAAGAAGAGTTGCCACTATCAGGTGAGCTGTGGAGGTAGGGTCCTTGGAGGCTGGATGACAGCAGCTGGCAAGTGGATAAGGGTGCATTGGGCCCCTCGTCAAGGAGGTCTCACTTCATATATAGACAGGGGCCTCTGGGGTGGGGCTGAGGTGCAAAGGGGGATTGAGAAGCCCAGGAGAAGAGAGACGGGGGTTCCCTTCTTCCCTTTTCTCAGATGCACTGTGGACTCAGGGCCTTGCTGGGCTGGGGGTCTCCTTGCAGAGATGAAGCTGCTTCTGGCCCTAGCAGGGCTCCTGGCTGTTCTGGGCATGCTCCAGCCCTCTGAAGGTGCTGCTCCAGGTAACAGTTCCCAAGGTGGGGGAAGATGGGGTGGTTGTGTTCCAGGGACCCCTTTTCTCAGTGCAGGCCTTCCTAGCTCTGGGGCCTAATGGGGACTCAGAGCCCATTCCTGACTTTTTGATCCTTGCTCTGGGCAGCTGTCCTGGGGGAGGTGGACACCTCGTTGGTGCTGAGCTGCATGGAGGAGGCCAAGCAGCTGGTGGACAGGGCCTACAAGGAGCGGCGGGAAAGGTGGGGCATGAGGCACTGCTCAGCTCTGGGCAAGGCTGGCCCAGGCATTTTGGAGAAGGAGCAGGCAGCAGGGAGTTTGAAGGTGGGAGAGGGGGCCTATGGGGACCCATGTGGACTCCCTTTCTTTCTATCTGTCTGTCCCTGTCTCTGGATGGGAGAACAGCTTCAAAGCCATCCTTCCCAAAGCCTTGCCTCTGTCTGGACACCCAGGTCCATATCCTTTTTATAAAGGGAAGCCTTCTTCCCACCCGTGGGCCTGTCTGCATGGTCCTGCATGTCTGCCCCTGGCCTGGGGCTCTGCTGAATGAGTCTGCACTCCTTCTCTGGCCCTCACTCCTTTCTCCAAACAGCATCAAGCAGAAGCTTCGCAGTGGCTCAGCCAGCCCCATGGAACTCCTATCCTACTTCAAGCAGCCAGTGGCAGCCACCAGGACTGCTGCGAGATCTGCTGACTACCTGCACGTGGCCCTAGGCCTGCTGGAGAGGAAGCTGCGGTCCCTGTGGCAGGGGCCATTCAATGTCACTGGTACTGTAGCCCATCCCACCCCAGGCTCCTGCTCCACTAGTCACTCCTCCTAGAGACCCCAGCTGTCTTCCAGTGATCCCCTCAACCTCTTCCTCCAGGCAGTCAGTCTCAGGGGCATCCTAATATCCCCTCCACTTCAGACTGGGCCCCCTCAGCCTCAGGTTGCCTGGGTTAGGAAGTGAGGGGGCGTGGCTCCCCCAATCCTCTTTCCACCCGCGGCAGATGTGCTAACGCCCGCTCAGCTGAATTTGTTGTCTAAGTCAAGCGGCTGCGCTTACCAGGACGTGGGGCTGGCTTGCCCGGAGCGGGACGAATACCGCACCATCACCGGCATGTGCAACAACAGGTGCGGCGGCTGCGGTGGCGGCAGGACCCGGGCTCCGGGAGGCGGCCTGAGTGCCTCGGACCTCTCCGTGTCAGCACTCTGTCCTCCCCTCTCAGACGCAGCCCCACTCTGGGGGCCTCCAACCGTGCTTTTGCGCGCTGGCTGCCCGCGGAGTATGAGGACGGCTTCTCGCTTCCCTATGGCTGGACGTCCGGGGTCAAACGCAACGGCTTCCCGGTGCCCCTGGTGAGCGCCTGCGGGCAGAGGGGGCAAGGCCCGGCCATGGGGCGCGCGGACCCAGGCGCCCGCTGACCTCTGTGTCCCGCAGGCTCGCGCGGTCTCCAACGCGATCGTGCGCTTTCCCACGGACCAGCTGACCCCAGACCAGGAGCGCTCACTCATGTTCATGCAGTGGGGCCAGCTGTTGGACCACGACCTCGACTTCACTCCCGAGCCGGCCGCCCGGACCTCCTTCTTCACTGGGGTCAATTGTGAGACCAGCTGCGTGCAGCAGCCGCCCTGCTTCCCGCTCAAGGTGGCCCTGCTTCCCGCCCCCCTGTCTGGATGGGGAGAGGGGAGTGTGTCTGGAAGAGGCCATCTCCCTTCTGTGCCCAGGTTTCCTTTCCCAGTCGCTGAGGAAGGCTGGCCCTGCCTCCCGGTGTCCAAAGGCACTGGCTGCTCAGCTGGGACCTGTCTCCCTCCTGCGCCTGGGCTCAGCCAGCTGGCGGTCAGCGCCGTCCATTTGCTCACTGCCTCTCCCAGTCCAAGGGAGAGAAGGGTATTCATCCCTCGCTGACAGGAGTCTTGGTGGAATTACTGGCTCTTTGTTACGCTGGGAGAGAGTTCTGGGAGGAGGACCTTTCCAGTGCTCTCGAGCCTCCGTGCTCAGTCCTGTTTCCTCCCCGCTGAGGGGGCAGCCCTCCAACCCCTATCGCACAGAAGGAGAGGGCCTGGGGGTCTGGCGGTGCTGTGGGACAGGGCTGGGAGTGGGCAGGGTGGTTGAGGCATTTGCTGAGCATGGAGGGAGGAGGAGAGAAAGGAGAGAGAGCCTGAGAGAGAGGGAGAGAGGCGGACAGGAGAATGCCAGGCCAGAGGAAGAGCAGGTGCAGCAGAGAGAAGTGGAGAGAGATAGGCGATGCTTTAGTGAGGAGGGGCTGAGGTCTGGTGGTGCCCAGATCCAGGGGCTACCCACGCTCCCAGTTCAGTGTTCTGTGTTCTGCTCATTAACTTTTCCCCTCAGAGGCTGCTGTGGTAGAGCCCCAGGCAGCGATCCCATTGGGGCATCCAGAGGCCTCTCTAAAGGTTGAGGGGACCAGAGGTCCTGAGGGCAGGGGACAGCCACTTCTGCCTGGGCACCTTCCCTGCCCTCAGTGAGCCAGTCTGGCCTCTCTCTGTGCCTCAGATCCCGCCCAACGACCCCCGCATCAAGAACCAAGCCGACTGCATCCCATTCTTCCGTTCCTGCCCGGCCTGCACCAGCAGCAACATCACCATCCGCAACCAGATCAATGCGCTTACTTCCTTCGTGGACGCCAGCATGGTGTACGGCAGCGAGGAGCCGCTGGCCAGGAACCTGCGGAACGGGTCCAACCAGCTGGGGCTGCTGGCCGTCAACCAGCGCTTCCAAGACAATGGGCGGGCCCTGCTGCCCTTTGACAACCTGCACGACGACCCCTGTCTCCTCACCAACCGCTCGGCGCGCATCCCCTGCTTCCTGGCAGGTCAGCTTTGGGGTGGGGACCAGGGGTGGCATGGGAAGTGTTCCCTGCTGGAGCCACAGTGAGCCTGTTTGTGAGCAGCTTGTGGGTCTGCACTTAGAGAGACTGTCCTCACCAGCCATTAAATATCAACTTCATGATATTAATCCAGTTGCCTTGGTAACAAGTCAGATGGAGCCAGAAAGGCAGAAAAGCAAACAACCTCTCCAACCCTAAGATGGAGACCCAAGGATGTCTGAGGAGCTGCTGTCCATCAGTCCATGGCTTTCTCTGTCTCTCTTTTCCCTTCTGGACTCTGGAAAAGGAGAGCGTTGAATCCCTCAGGGGCAGGGAACTAAAGAACAGACCGCGCTGTGGTGCCCTTGCCCTGTAGCACGACGCTGTTCAGTGTGGTAGCCACTAGTTGCGTGTGGTGATTTTAATTTTAGTTATTTTAAATTAAACCCAGTTTCTCAGCGGTGCTAGCCACATTTCAAATGCTCAATTGTCTCACAGTCTAGTGGCTCCCCTGTTGGGTGGCACAGACGTAAAATATTTTCTTCATCTTGGAAGTTGTGTGTTGGACCACACTGCTCCGAAATGTCCCCTCCCGTGCATCTTAGTTGTCCGTAATAAGAGATGATGGGATTTTAGATTTAAACAACTGGTAGTTTTGGAGACACGATTGGGGCAGTGATGGCAGCCATGACTGGACATTTTCCAGTGTTTTGAAATGTAAGACCAATAGTGGACCTCAGACCTTGTACCTTGGCCTCCCTCTGCCTCCTCCTGGTGGTTCCTGCTGGTCTCTCCCTGGCTGGAACCCTGGGAGGAGGATCAAGGTTGGATTTCCTGCAAGAGAGGCCCCACCTCTTCTGGGCTAGTTAGGCAAGGGCAGCTCTCCTTAACCATACTCAACTGTCCCCAGTCTCACTTGATGAGCTCCATGCCCCAAGCCTGGGTCATTGTGACCTCTAGCTGCTCATAGACAGAGATGCTGCTCTCAGAGAATTTCCTTTCCACCAGCTTCTAGAGTTGGCAAGGACTGATTCTAGGGTCCTGACCCCAGCCCTCTGGCGGTGCGAAGAAGGGCTGTGGGAGGACTAGGGGAACCAGGGAGCTTCTGCTTAGTGGTGTGGACTTCACACATCTCATGTCCTAGCCCCCTCCCCTGGAGCAGGCTGCACCATTGGCATGTAGTAAAGGGCAGGCTGACAACTCTGTTCAAACGGTAGTGGCTTTCTGGATTCCTGTGTTGAGAAGGAGCCTGAGGTTGTATCCAGTTTTAGTAGGAAAGAGTGCTGTGATCATTGGCTGCGTCTGACATGGCATTATCATAGGCTGTGCCAATGTGCATACTTCTTCTCAGGCACTCCTTGGAATCAAGAGAATCAGTTAACCAAGCAGTGTTCATAAGTCTCATCCTTTGTACCAGGCACTGTGTTAAGCCTCATGTATCCATGTGTGTGCTAGGCAGGAGGGTAAAATATAAAAACACAAGCCTTAGTCCTTGTGCCCAAGGAGCTCCCAGTTTCAGGTGCAGGAAAGTAGCAAGTCATGTGTTGAAAGTGATGCCCATCGAATGAGCATCCCCAACCAGCAGCACCCCTGAACTGAGGCAGAGGCTATTATTGCGGCCTGGGGCATCAGAGCAGGCCTCCTAGAAGAGTATAAATTGAGGATGATATGAAAAGATGGATGGGGAGGAGGGGCAAGTAGGAGACATTTCAGGTTTTGGCTGGGGAGGGAGATTTAGTGGAGCAAATCTTTTCTAGGATGGAGGTCTTGGGAATGACAGTGGCTTTTGCTTCCCTAAGGGGACACCCGTTCCAGTGAGATGCCTGAGCTCACCTCCATGCACACCCTCTTACTTCGGGAGCACAACCGGCTGGCCACAGAGCTCAAGCGCCTGAACCCCAGGTGGGATGGAGAGAGGCTCTACCAGGAAGCCCGGAAGATCGTGGGGGCCATGGTCCAGGTAGGCTGTCTTGAGCAACGGGCATGCGGAGTGCAGATGTGCCCCTGCAACATACTAGTGACCTTGGACAAGTTCCTAACCCTCCTGAGCCTTGCCTTCTTCATCCACGGGGCTGTAAGAATTATGGGATATACATGAAAACACCTTTCAGATACTAAGTGCTTGACAAAGGCTCCTTCCCTTCCTGCTCCTTTTTCCCAGATTTGCCCTCACGGTCTTTTTCCTGTGGGAAAGAAGACTGTGAGACATTTTCACAACATCTTGTGGTGTTGGGAGGGTTGAATGTTTGGTTCAGTGCCTGGTGTGTACTAGCTGTTCAGTAAATGCTTCTTTCCTCCATCTTGCTGTTGCTCTTAGCTCATTTACCCACTCCCCTCTTCTTTTTAAATTAAAAGAAGCCTGTTGCCCAGGCTGGAGTGCAGTGGCACGATCTTGGCTCACTGCAACCTCCGCCTTTCGGCCTCAAGCCATCCTCCCACCTCAGCCTCCTGATTAGCTGGGTAGCTGGGATTACAGGTGTGTGCCACCATGCTCGGCTAATTTTTGTATTTTTTGTAGCGATGGGGTTTCGCCATGTTGCCCAGGGTGGTCTCAAACTCCTGAGCTCAAATGATCCACTTGCCTTGGCCTCCCAAAGTGCTGGAATTACAGGCACGAGTCACTGCATCTGGCTCACTCTCCTCTTCTTTTTGATTCTGTCATAACCCACCCAACCTCCTTAGCTTCACTTTCCCCTGGGGCAATGTTCTTGGTTCTGTCTCTCAACATCTGGTATTTCATTGCCCAGATGCAGACACACACACACATACACACACACACACACACACACACACACACACACTGCTGGATTCTGGAGGAGAGAGTTTCAGGTGCTAAGGGTAAGTTTTTGATTTGCACTAAGAACTCAAGTCGGATTCATTTACACTCTGAAAGAACTTCTAGAATCTAGACTCTAGAGTGAGACTGTTCCACATCTTCCCTTTTCACTGGGGAGAATCATGCCAGAATGGCCCTTCATTCCTTCCTGCCTCCCTGCTTTCCACAAACCTATACTGAGCCCTACTGTGGACCAGACACGTGGTGGGCCCTGTGAAGAATTTCAACAACTTCAATTCCCCTTGCCCTCAAGGACTTTATAAGATAGTTGCAGAAATGAGACATTAACAACTTGAGGACAAGGAAGTTATCACAATGACTGATAAAGTGATTTGCTGTTTAGTCCTCGAAGGCAGAGGGCAATATAATTATCCTTAATGTATATTTGAGGAACTCAGGCTCAGAGAGGTTAATGACTGGTCCGAGGTCACCCAGCCAGCAAGCAGTAGAGCTCTGTTTATGCCTCTCAGTGCCACTCTGTTAGGTCCAGGACTGGTATTGTGGGAGACAATTCCCTGACCACAGAGGGATGGGAGGGGTCCCCCAAGCCATTAGCAGGCCGAGACTCTGCAGGGAGGAGTAGGTGGAGAGGCGTTCCAAATAACTTGTCTTTAGATCATTACTTACCGGGACTACCTGCCCCTGGTGCTGGGGCCAGCTGCCATGAGGAAATACCTGCCCAGGTATCGTTCCTACAATGACTCAGTGGACCCACGCATCGCCAACGTTTTCACCAATGCCTTCCGCTATGGCCATACCCTCATCCAACCCTTCATGTTCCGCCTGGACAATCGGTACCAGCCCATGGAACCCAACCCCAGAGTCCCACTTAGCAGGGTCTTTTTTGCCTCCTGGAGGGTGGTGCTGGAAGGTAAGCCTGACCTAGGCCAGGAGTGAGTGGGTTGGCAGTGAAGGGTGGGGTGGGGGTCACCTAGGGAGGTCACCTCTAGGGAGCTAGGGTGGGGAGTGATCTGCTGTCCTCTCATCCTGGATATGTGTTCTGACTGTCCAGCCTCAGTTCCCCTGACTCTGTTTCTGTATGTGATAACAAAGAGTGGGGGTGTGGATGGCTCTCAGAGGGAACTGGCTACTTCCTATTTGCTGTGGCTTGTTGTGACCCAGGAGGCCAGGGCCTGGGAGCATCTCAATCTTGCAAGTCTAAATGGCATAATCTCCTGAGACCTGTATGCCCCTTGGGTCATGTAGTGACCAGTGAGGACCTGCTCGCTGGCACCACCTTGGCACCAGACTCTGCATGTGCCCAGCCCTCTTCTTGAATCCTCCTGACCCTACCTGGACTTGTCCCTGACTCCAGTCTGAGCTCTGATACTGAGCCAGATACTTCCCCTGACCTGGCTCCTCTGGTCCCCAGGTGGCATTGACCCCATCCTCCGGGGCCTCATGGCCACCCCTGCCAAGCTGAATCGTCAGAACCAAATTGCAGTGGATGAGATCCGGGAGCGATTGTTTGAGCAGGTCATGAGGATTGGGCTGGACCTGCCCGCTCTGAACATGCAGCGCAGCAGGGACCATGGCCTCCCAGGTGAGAGGCTGCAGGGGTCTCCCCAATGCTCCCCTCCACCGAGCTGTCTCCCAGGTGGCCCATAGCTCCCCTTCCCATTCTAGGGGCCCTGCCCCTTCCAAAGCATATTACAGGCACTTTGCTCTCAGGAAGTAGTCTGAGGCCAGGCCCTGCCTTTCGCTGGACCCATCTGATCAGTTTCCCACTCTTCTCAGCCTCCTTTGCATGATGTAATTTTCATTCTAAGGGCATCATCATCGTAACGATAACTCACTGTCTGAAAATCTGTCTCTGTCGTCATTCCATTTTGCTTCCTTGTGTATGAACTCTGGGAGAAGAGATTATTGTTGCATCCTTTTTACTGATGAGGAAGCTGAGACTTGATGAGATTCAGAACCTGGCCAGGTTCTCTAGCCAAGTCAGTGGAAAAGCTTAAATTTGAAGCCAGATCAGCCTAACCCTAACGCCTAAACCCTATGTGGCTGAGGCTTCTAGACATATTTCACCTCTCAGGGGTGAGAGACAGACACGTTGGGCTGCTCGGGAGGGGGACATGGAGATGCCGGTATTCTTGGACCCGGCAGGAACTGTGGCGGTTTAGGGTTTGCCTTATGGTAGAAGGGCAGGGGAAAGACAGAGAGGGTCCCAGAGAGGCCCAGTTGTGCCCCTTGGTCTGAGCCAAAGGTTCAGGGTTCCCTGAGGTGAGGTTCTTCCCTCCCCTTTCTATGACCTTGGTTGTGTTGGGAAGGTGGGTTTTCTGGGCTGTTGGCAGATATGTGAATCTTCCCTGCTATCTCCAGTGACCTCCCCACCTTGAAGCAGAGGGACCTGCCCACAGCCATCTATCCCCTCCTCCATGCAGGGTACAATGCCTGGAGGCGCTTCTGTGGGCTCCCGGAGCCCAATACGGTGGGCGAGCTGGGCACAGTGCTGAAGAACCTGGATTTGGCAAGGAAACTGATGGCGCAGTATGGCACGCCCAACAACATCGACATCTGGATGGGTGGCGTGGCCGAACCCCTGGAGCCCAAGGGCCGAGTGGGCCGGCTGCTCGCCTGCATCATCGGCACCCAGTTCAGGAAGCTCCGGGATGGTGATCGGTGAGGGGGGGCAGGAGGCGTGGGCTGTTGGGTGGCTGTGGGCCTATCCTTCACTCTCTTGGATCCCACATTTCCTCCCGTCAGGTGAAGGACTGGAAGGAGTCAGTAAGTTTCCAGTGTATTCCTGGAAGCCTCCAGATGCCCTGGAGTGCCCCTAATGTGCCCTGAACCTGTTGGGGTGCAGCAAGGACAGACCTGGACCCCTGGTTGTAGGCAGATAGAAAAAGGGAGACAGACAGAAAAATGCCACCCTTAGACACTTCTTCCCGTGGGTTTCACCGTGTAACTGTGGGGGTGTCAGTCACCCATGGGCAGTCCCTTCCCAGCTTCCCCACAGCTTCCCTTAGTGTCATATTATCGTGGTCCTGACGTCTTCATGTCTGTCTAGTTCTTGCTTAGCCTGTATTGCACATTTGGGAAAATTAGAAAAAGGTTCCCCCCTCTGGGTGGACAAAGTATAAACCACCCCCAAGATTCTCTCCCACTCCTGTGGATGCAGCCTCTAGCCAGGGCACAGAGCATCAGGAGTGCGTGTGGGCCTGGGTCCCCCTCAAGCGTGGTGCCCTGGAGGCCGCCAGGCTAGGGAAAGGGAAAGGCCCCTGGGCAGCTGTGCTTTGCTCTGCACTACGAGTAGATGGTCACTAGTGTGAAAGCCCCTGGGCTGCCCAAAAGATGGGGCCCTCCCGTGCTGCCAGGCAGCATTTGCTGTGGCCTTCTTACATCGAGTGAGCAGCACAAGCCCATCGATGCCCTGGCAGCTCTGAATATCCTCAGGTACAGAGTCCATGGGTGTCCCCCATGCAGGTTTTGGTGGGAGAACGACGGCGTGTTCAGTATGCAGCAGCGACAGGCCCTGGCTCAGATCTCCTTGCCCCGGATCATCTGTGACAACACGGGCATCACCACTGTGTCTAAGAACAACATCTTCATGTCCAACAAACATCCCCGGGACTTTGTCAACTGCAGGACGCTCCCGGCATTGAACCTGACTTCCTGGAGGCAATCCTAGAGGCTAGGTGAGGGGGTGCAGCATTGAGGGGTATATCCAGGCTGGCCGGTTAGAACCACAGAGCTCCCCATGCCCTAGGTGAGCCCAGCCCTGTTCTGGGTGCAGCTGAGTGACTAGTTGTTCATTTGTGTGCTCATGTGCATGCGAAGTATGTAAATTGGCATTTCATATGTGTGTGTTGTCTGAACACAGGAAGTGTTTCAGGGACTATGTGTATGTGCCTTTTATGTGAGTGTGTGTTTGTGCTGATGAAAATACTGAGTGTGTGGAAGGCAGCAGAGCAGACTGGTGAGGAGCACAGCTCAGGAACTAGACTGCCTGAGTTCTAATCCTGGCTCTGTGGCTTGCTAGCTATATGCAAATTATTTGCTAGCTATGTACAAATCGCTACCTTGAGCAAATTACTAACCCTCATTAAACAAGAGTTTTCTTCCTTGTAAATTACATGTCATGGTTTCTTGGAGGGCCCACTTGAATCCTCTGGTTCTTCATTTGTTGAGCACCTACTATATGCAAGGCACTGTGCTAGGCGTGAGAAGCATATAGAGGCAAGAAAGAGATATCAAGATCCTATCTGTGTCCTGGTTAGCAGAGCTGGACAGTGATTCCCTGGTGGGATGAACCAGCTGCAGCTGGGCTGTGTGGTTGACTTATGGGCCCAGCCAGTCAGGCTCAGGCCATGGCTCCCCTTTTTCTTTCTCACCTTGATTTCTTGCTTATTCACAGGAGTCCTCCTGAGGAGGAACTGAGCCCATTGGCCTTTCTGTAGCATTTATTTGCCAATGTTTATGATAATAAAGCCACCTCCAAAGGGGACCTCCACTCCGTCTGTGTCTGCCCTGTGTTTCTGAACTGAGGGTGAGGATGCTGGGGAGTTTTCCTTTGAGATTCGTATGTGGAGGGCAATCGGCTCTTGGAAGCCTGGGGACCAGGGCACGTGGTGCAGACCCTCCTCCTCTGCCCCTGACACCCTGCAGGGAACTGTGGTCACCAAGCCCTCATGTTTGTTCATTGCTCTAGCAAATATTTGCTATGTGTTCACGCTGTGTCAGGCTTGTGCCAGGGGCTGGGAAGTGGAGGGCACAAAATGCTGTGTGGCAGGAGAGGAAGTGTGGAGAGCTGGTAAGGAGGCAGGCCCTCCCCTGATGAGAGGGACCTCTGTCTCCTGCATCCCCACAGCCTGGCCCAGGGGCTCAGAAGCCCTCAAGACAGTAGACTCCTTATCACTCAGAGAGCAGCAAGAGCAGATGGCTGGGCCCAGAGGACAGGGCCAGCACTCAGGGAGAGGAAGGAGTATATTTCTCTAGCTGTCTTGCCTGGATCTTGAACCCTGGGTCTGACTGGCAGGCTCCCTCTCTCTCCCTTTCCTTCTTCCCACATATGGGGAGGGGGCCGGAAGCTGTGTAGGACGGTGGGGTCTAAGGTATTCATGGAGCTCCCGGGTAATGCTAGGACCTCACCATGGTAAGTAGCAGCATAAATACTGCTTGTCCTCATTTCCGGGATGAGGAGAGGACTGCTTAGAGGGGTGAAGGGACTCAACCAAGGCCTGGAAGGAGTGGGTGGCAGTGCCAGGCTGCAGCTGGGGTCATCTGGCTCCTGGGCTCTTCCCACAGGATGACTGAGTGTCCCCCACTCCCACCCCACCAGTCGGGGGATCTGCAGACCCTGGCTGGGCTAATCTTTCCCAAGGGGTCAGTTTAAAAGAACATATGAATAGGTGTTGGGTGGAAGCTCAAGGAATGTTCTGGAAGTGTCCCTTCAGAGGCATCACAGGATCCAAGAACCACCCTAGAATAAGAGGGCTTTTCTCCAAAGGGCTGCTGAAAGGGATATTAGCTTCAGCCGCGGGGGACCCACGCTTGGTTTTCCTTCCTGTTTTATCCCTTGGACCGCCACCTACTATCCCACTGCACGCCCCCTCTCTTGCTACTCCACAGCCAGTGTTTTTTTTCCCCCAGGACCCCCTGCCCCTCCCCTTTCTTTGAGAGCTCTTAGAAATCCCACCAAACCATCCCCTCTCACCCCGAGACCCATGCATGCGGCATCTCAGTGGTAAGCCATATATGGCCTGTTAACATCTAGTTACCTATTTGACAGTGATCCCAAGGTCTGCTTTTGGAGGGAACAGTGTCACTACTAGCATCTTTATTCAGTCATCAGATGTGTTTGAGCACTTCTAATGTGCTGTGCATCATGCTAGGTGCCACGGGGGACCCTCGGAGGCAGGCTGAAGTCCTGGCTCAGGGAGCTCACAATTTAGTTGAGAGTACAGGAGGAAAGATAAAGGTCAAGGGCCAAGACTTGTGGAGGGAAGAGGACAAGTAACATTCAGCAAGCTGGACCAGAAGGGCATCTCAGAGCGGCATTGACAGAAATGAGAAGCCACAGGAGCTGAATGTAAGAGCTGGGAGGGCCGAGGCAGCCACCCTGGGGCCTGGGCAAGCTGTTCACCTGGAGGTATAGAGAGGCCCAGCTGCAAAGAAGGGCTGGGACTGGGGTGTGGGGCTCTAAGGGACCAGGTCGTTGAACTTGCTTGAAATGGCATTGTGGACCAAAGGGAACTTTCCTGTGCAACACAGGAGGTCTCAGAACCTAGGCCCCTAATTCTTCAAGGAGGCCCAGGGGGACAGGTCCAGCTTGTCAATGGCTGAGCAATCCACGAAGTCACTGGGGTAGCTGTTGGCCCGGAATGGGTCCCGTGGGACCTTGGTGATGCGGGTGTTGTCACAGACAAGGCGTGAGAAGGATATTTTCCGTAGAGAGTCCTTCTGTTTCTTTGTGAAGACCCCAGGGTTTTCCCACCAGAACCTGCAGAGACAGAAGTAGAGTCACTCCACACTGCTTGGCCACTGGCCCCTCGCCACCCTGTCACAGGGGAAGGAAAGAGGTCACAGGGACCATGAAAAGCCCCACTCACACTGAGGTCTGGAGTCAGGATTCATGCAGGATGGCACACCTCCCACGGAGAAGGGCCCTTCCCTGCCCTCCCTGGCTGAGGGTGCACTTGCCTGTCTCCGTCGCGGATCTGCTGGAACTGCTTGCCCAGGAGGCAGGCCAGGAGGGGCCCCACCCGACCCCTTTCCACCAGTGGCTCAGCAATGGCCCCTATCCAGATGTCAATATTGTTAGGGGTCCCGTAGAGACGCAGTAACTTCTTGGTCAGCATCTTGTTCTTCAGCACAGGGTTCAACTCCTCTAGTGTCTGCGGCTGCGAGAGGTCACAGAAGGCTCTCCAGGAATTGTACCCTAGGGTGGAGAGGCTGAGGCTGTCTCATCCCAGGGACTTCCTGTTCACAGTCCTCCTTGGGGACCTGCCCACTTCAGCTCTATCAGCCCTAAAACGTCTGGGCTTACAGCCTTTGGGATGGGAAAGGAGGCAATCCATTGTTTCTTATGTGCACTTTAATCTTGAGGGGCTAGTTGGTTAAGTACTGTGTAATCACTACGTAATCATGTAAGTTATGTAGTACTTGCTATGAATCCAGGCACTCTTCTAAGCACTATGCAAATATGTAACTGAAGAACAGAAATGTTAAGTAATTTGCCCAAAGTCCTATAACTAGTAAATGGCACAGGTGGGATTTGAACTCAGGCAGTCTGGTTCTTTACTAAATTGCCTTTCACCGGGACCAAAGAAAGGTCAAACAGTCATTGGTTTCTCTCTATTCTTTTCTTAATGTTTCCAGGGCTTTGAACTGTTTTTAAAGTTAGTTGTTGATCTGTTTTTCATTTAAGAAACGCCAAGATAGTACCAGATCCGTGCTCTTTTCTCTGCATTAGGGGAAATGAAAGATTCTGTTTCATAGATCAACAAAGTGGGTTTTAAAAATGGCCTGGGGCTGGACATGATGGCTTGCACCTGTAATCCCAGTGCTTTGGGAGGCCAAGGTGGGCGATTGCTTGAGGCTAGGAGTTCAAGACCAGCCTGGGCAAGACTATGCCTATAACAGCAACAACAAAAAGCTGGGCATGGTGGCACACCTGTAGTCCCACATACTTGGTAGGCTTAAGCATGAGAATTACTTGAGGCCAGGAGTTTGAGGCTATTGTGAGCTGTGACCACACCACTGTACTCTAGCCTGGGCAACAGAACAATATCCTGTTAAAAAAACAAAAAAGAAAACAAAACAAAAAAACCTGGCCTGACTTCTGTTTCAGATCCTGAGGGTTACAGAAGAGAGTCTCCAGGAGCTCTAGAAAGTTAGCTAGAATTTCCCCAGTTCAGGCCAGACGTCAGGCCCACTTACCGGGCTGCCCATGGTCCCGGCAACGCTGTATGTTGATGGCAGCCAGGTCAAAGCCATGGATCCTGTGAGTTGGCTGGAAAAGCTTGTTGCGCAGCTCTCCAGTCATCATTTTATTCTGTTTCATCAACTTGGATTTCTTGGCCATCAGGCCCCGCACCAGAGGATCAATTCCACCTGCCAAGGGAGACCCAGAAGCCATGCTTAGGATGGGGGTAGGGTGGGGACATCATCCATGGCTTACCTCTGCCTCCACTGGACATTTTCTGTTGGCTGAATGTGGATCAGCTGGACATCCCAGGCTGGAAGGAGTAGCCTGAAAAGTGTGCTCAGGGAGACAGGGGTGTCCGGATTGTCTGCTCTGGGGGTGGGCAGAAAGGGGCATTTATGGGATGATGGCATGAATAGAAACATCAAGCTATATTTTTTGGCCAGGCCTGGTGGCTCAGGCCTGTAATCCTAACACTTTGGGAGGCCGAGGAGGGAAGATTGCTTGAGCCCAGGACTTTGGGACCAGTCTGGGCAACATGGCAAAGCCCCATTTCTAAAAAAATTAGCTGGGTGTGGGGGCAAGTGCCTTGTAGTCCCGGATACTCAGGAGGCTGAGGTAGGAGGATCACATGAGCCCATGAGGTTGAGGCTGTAGTGAGCTGAGTTCATGCTATTGCACTCCAGCCTGTGTGATAGAGTGAGACCCCGTCTCAAAAAAAAAAAAAAAAAAAAAAAGGCATTTTTAAAGCTCTCCTTTATGGAGTCAGATTCTTCTTCCATATGTTCTGCTGAGGAACATTGTGTAATGGGAAGAGGTTGCATAAATCTCAGGGAAATGGCCTTGACTGGTTAGGCTTTAAGGAAAGTTAATTTCAACACATCATAGCCTAGAGATAAAGGAAAGTTGGGTCCAACCTCTGGCACCTCTATGAGGTGAAAAAGTCTAGAGGAATCAAAAAAGAGCAATTTATTTACCAAACCCATGAACAGTTTCTATAGGAGTCAGAGAAGCCTAGGGCAGGGAAAGGAGGTAGGGAAATCCCAGTCACCTTGGAAGCCAAGAGGAAAGAAATAACTAATATTTACTGATCACCTCTAGTGTGTCAGGATCCATTGTAGGGTGCTCCATACGTAGATCTCATTTAATTTTTTGGATAGCCTTGTGAGATGGGTATTATTATTGTCTCCATTTTATAAATAAGGAAACTGAGGCTCAGTGAGATAAATTCACTTGCCCACAGTCACATAAAAGTGCTTGGAATCTGACTTCCAAGCCAGGTTTCCCTACAATAGGCTGCAGAGTGGGAGACCCAGGTGACAGCACTTCCCTGAAAGGACATACCATCTTTGACCATCCTCCAAGTGTTGAAGAAGAGGGTGTGGAGGGGGAGTTCTGGTTCTGGCCCCCATGGCTGATAATTCTCATCCAGGCGGAACACAGTAGAGGGGATCTCCAAGTGGCCAAAGCGGAAGGCAAAGGTGAAGACATTGGAGATTGTGGGATCTACAGATTCATTGTAGCCTTGATATGGGGGTATCCACTTCTGCATGTGGTCACCTAGCACAATGGGTAGGTAGTCCCTA